TTGGGCCTTCTGGTGCTCCTCTACTGGAAGGGACCAGTGAAAAAAAAGGGAAGAAATTCTCTTACACGGGCATGAACCCGTGTGGTCTGGGGATGGCCCCTCTGTGGAATGCTGCTTTCGTCAATGTGGGAGCAGTGTCTCAGACAGCTATGCTCAGGTCATCATAGCAAGGCAATCTTGAGACAAATGTTTCCAGTAGGAGGGCATGGCCACTCTAGAAAACTGGCAAAACAAAGTGTGCCTCAGATGAGGCCGTCTGGAAATGACTGGTACATTGGATGAAAGTCGTTCCAGGGTAGCAGAGATGAGAGGTGCCTTTGATATGGGACAGGAGAGGGGCAGGCTTTCAGGTGATAATGGCAGAATGAATACAGACTCCTACTTTTCCCATTTGGAGCAAAATAAACAATACTCAAATGATTTTGTTGAAGAGAGAAACCCAAAATGACCAGCTAAAAACCTCGACATGCTTTTATTTTTTTAAAGATTTTTATTTATTTATTTATTTGAGAGGGAGAGACAGAGAGAGAGGTCTTCCATCTACTGGTTCACTCTCCAAATGGCTTCTACGGCAAGAGCTGGGCCGATCCAAAGCCAGGAGCCAGGAGCCAGGAGCTACTTCCAGGTCTCCAAGTAGGTGCAGGGACCCAAGCACTTGAGTCGTCTTCCACTGCTTTCCCAGGTACTAGCAGAGATCTGGAGTGGAAGAGGAGCAGCCAGAACTAGAACCTGTGTCCATATGGGATGCTGGTGCTGCAGGCAGAGGTTTAACCTGCTACACCACAGCACTGGACCCAGACACACTTTTAAGAGCTATAGAGTAAATATATGAGAAACCCAGAAACATAGCCAGAATCTGATGGTGGCGATGAAGTTGAGCCATTTATTTAATTATGATCAGAAAAAAAGAATTCACAAAATAGTCAGGGAAAGCCTCTAACATGAACATAATTGAGACGCCTACAAAAAAAAATGCACAAAACAAATAAAAGCCAAAACCACCTGAAAGCGAGATACTACAGTTTACAGAAATTTCTCAGCATATCAATAAATAAACATATGAATATCTTCAGAGAGATGAAGGAAAATATGGCAGTGTGAAACATGAACATATAGATCCATAGATAGATAGAAAGATAGATAGATAGATAAAGAGAGAGAGAGAGAGGGAGGGAGGGAGAGAAACTGAAAAAAATGCACTTAAACGTGGTATAAAACAGATAGGTTAGAGAATATTTCAGTCATATTTAGGAAATCCAACAAGAGCTAAACAGAAGAGAAAAACAAATGGGTAAAAAAAAAAGAAAAAAAATAGCTTAAGAAGCAGTCTAGAAGATCCAACCTCTAGTTATTAAGAATGCCAGACCAAAGTGGGAAAAAAAAGTGAGAGAGAAAAATTGCAGGACAAACTAATATCAAAGGAATACTTCAGTAACATTTCCTAGAATGGAAAGATTGCTAGGCTAAAACAGATTCAGTGAGAGCCCACAGCAAGAGATGAAAATAGATCCACACCAGAGAATTCTCTTGTGAAGTTTCTGCACAGTGTATGCAAAGCAGTGATTCATCAAGTTTCAAGAAAGAAAAGGTAAACCTAGATCACCTATAGAAGATCAAAGAGCAGAACAGCTTTTGACTTTGTTAACAGCAACTCTGAAAAACAGAGAACAAAGAGACATTCCTTTATAACCCTAAAATAACGAAGATAAATCATGTAGTCCACTGTGTATGGTGAATCCTAAAATGTCTCAGAAAATGCGTGTTTCAGGCATTGGTTTTGATAAGCCAAGACGAAGGCGCTCACCCACTCAGGTGATGCTACAGGGAGCTCTTGGGATGATGGTTCTGAGGAAAGTGTAGAGGTAGAACACAGAATGAAAAAAGCCAGCAGAGGTTTTCCCGAGAGGGGGAAGATATATCCAAGTTTACTGAGAGGGAAAGTAGAACCTTGGCAAAGGCTTTGGAATGAATTAAACGTTTGGAAACCAAACTTAGAAAATTAAACCCAAACTGGATTTAAAAAAAATCATGAGCAATCATTAGCTACACAGGGAAAACAAAGTGGAATGAAGAAACTGGGGAGAACGGCACAGAGGCAACATCAGGGACTGTTTCTGAGACGGGGAGAGAAGAGAACTGGATTGGAGATGAAGGCTCAAGGGAGATTTGGGATTTGTTGGTTTTCTTTTGTTGTGTTTCTGAAGACTACCGAGTTGTGGCTTCTGTGTAAGGAAGGGATCCACTGAGGATGCAGGTGTGCATTTCAAGAGAGACGAGCCACTGGAGAAGTGATCCTCTGGGAAGGGGTACCGAGGATGAGACCTGGGGTGGAGGCACCACCCTTGCTGCGGGGAGCAGCTCTCACTTCTGTTCAATAGTAGAAAAGCAGGCAGACACAGACACAAACCCATGTGGAGACTTCCTGGAGGGAAGATGGAGATGAACTGCTTATTCTTTGCTGAGCAATGAGAGGGCACCACGAGTTCTTTTCTTGTTATGCTATTTAAATTTTGTAATTATCCAGGAGATGAGACTATCTGTCCTGTTTCAAAAAAAAAAAAAAAAAAAGGAAATGAGGCTCACAGAACCCGTATAAGTTGCTGAGGTTGGAGAACTAGTAAGAAGAAGAGCAGGAAATGGAAATCATGGCTGGTCTTATTCTAATGCCCTTGCTGTGAAATACTCTACGATTCTCACAAGCCCCTGTCACACTGGAATGACCATGGGATATGGATGCTACACAGTGGGTACCACAAACGCCGCATACATCACATGTACAAGAGCAGTTTCTCCTGTTGTTCTCTCTGCTTTCCAAGCCAGGAAGGGCATACAAGGAAACCAGAAATTCTATTTTTAGGAGGGTGAGATTTCAAACCCATGTTCAGCTTGTTGAGATCCCTTGAAAATGCTGTTTTCTGTCTGCACAATTCACTCTGTCAGAGCTGCCATCAATTTCATTCTTGTTCTCTGGTCAGCAAATAGCAATACTGTAATGACGAAGTGCAGAACAGACATTACAACATACTTGACATTCTGCACAACAATTACCTTGCTGGAAATAATGGCATGAATATTAAGATGTTTAACTCCTCTTACTGATGAGGCATCTGGGAAAAAATGTCAATGGTTTAACTTCTGGATAAACCTTTGCAATGGTAGAGTTATCTTAAGGAAAGATAGCACAGATTCAGAAGGCCTGAAACATTCCTAAATGAGGAATACCCAAAATGGATTTTCTACAGAAATGTGGCTGATAGAACTGATTTTAGGAAGGACATTGGGTTCAAATCATTACCGTAAGAAGAGGACAGAATATATTTCTAAAAATTAATTTGATTTCCTGTACAAAGTTGAAAGGAGAAGCATATTCTATCATTCAGCAAAAATAATAATAAAGTGAAAATTTACAAAAAGCCCCTTGTAATCATCTAGAAATAGATAAAATATGATAGGTTTCAGGACAGTGTCAAGTCCAAATAATTGAATTCTAGGTCTGCACACAGCAAAAGAAAGTGAAAGAATAGCTTCATTAATGGTTGGGTTTTGCCTCAATTTCTCTGCTAGCAACTCAGTGATTTAAATAATTTTCATCACTGTTTTCAGTGACATCATTGCTTTAAATTGTTTTCTAAGCATAAACTTCTTCCTAGTAAGGGCCTTAGCATCTATCTCACTATCTCACTACCTGTTGAACATACACTTTTTTCTTTTTCTTTTTGACTTGTGCGTATGTGTGGAGTGCCATGTAACATCTTTTATTTTTAGTTTTAAATAAGTTTATTTTTAAAAGTACACATCAGAATCTAGCAAGAACCATCTCAGTAGTTGTAGATATTGCACAATGTTCAAGGTAAACACAGCTCTCTCCTAACACATTTCATGGTGTCTTTGGACTTCGACTTTGACTTTGAGACTCGCCCATGTAAGCCAGTGACTAGCTGAGTCAATATCCTTATCTCACTCTTTTAGTTTCAGGAGAAAGCGAAACGTTTCATTGAACAACTCAAGTCTATTTGAATGACAAGTCCAGCCACTCTGGTCTTGCAATTGAGCAAACCTCATCCATAAAACACTAAGAACTGGTTTTACAGCCAGGTCTGAGCCTTTCCTTGCCAAGGACCTTTGGCTTATCTGTCCTCCTAGGACATCTGTCACTTTGCTGAGTTCTTGCTTCCCTGTAGGCAAATTCTTGCCATTTTTTCTCAGCACACCCATAAAACTTGAAATTGCTTTCTGAGCATAGCCAGAAATGACATGCATTTAGAGGCAGGCAAAGCAAGCTGGACCTGCTGGCTCCATAACCTCGCCCTTATTAAGGGACAAGCAGGTGGTTTAGATCAAGCTGTGAAGGAAAAATCATAAAGAAAATCCCTTTGTTATTAACTAATTCTGTTTTTGCTGCCTAAAGAAAGGATGACATTTTCTTTAGGCAAAACTCTGTTGGTGCCTGTAATGAATAACCAAGTAGATGAATAAACTATCCTTTGCTTTCGCTGGGGTTTATAGAACTCAGGGGCATACCTACCTGCAGACACATAAAAAGTTCTACGACCATATCTTGAGTTAAAATTAGCACCACTTTGAGAACTTGTCCATCAAGGACTATCCCTGTGAAATGTGTTACAGGGCTCAGATCAGACTCCAGGTCTCAGACTTTGCAGCAGGGTTCATAGTTGCCTGTTTCAAATGTGCCATCATCTATCTGCTTTGTAATCATCAAATCATCATAGTTGAATCTGCTGAACACTTCACCTTTGTGCTACCTGTGCACTTTCAATTAATCTGTACATCATGACGACCCAGTTGTTTTCATCCTATCTATGTACAGGTGAGGATCCTGAAGGTTAGACCATTCCCATAGGCCCTCCCAGGTCAAAGATACATGGAAGACTGAAAGAAACCCAGCTCTCCCGGACCCCAGAGCCCTGGTGACTAACACATTTCGCAGAACAGCCCTCTCCTTCCTTTTGTGTTTACTCTGTGCTTAAGGACAACAGGAAGAGTGGAAATCAGAGAATTCCAAGTGAGCAGGGTTAGAACAGAGCTACGGAGCATGCTGATGACACTTCACAATTTGATTCTTTATAAAACACTGTCCCTGTCTCAGTTTCACAGATTCCAAGAGTTAAGAGTTAAGAGAGAGTAAGTTTGTTTCTTGGTGGGAGAGATATTGGCTTCAGTCCACAAGAAACACATGCTATTTCTTTCTTTTTTTTTTTTTTTTACTTAATTGTAAGATATACTTACTTTATTTGCAAGGTGGAGTGACAGGGAGAGGAGAAAGGGAGAGAGAGATGCCATCCAATGGTTCACTCTTCAAATGCTTACAAACAGCCTGGGGTAGCCCAGGCGAAAGCCATGGATCCAGGGAACTCCATCCGGGTCTCCAACATGGGAGGCAGGGACCCAAGTACTTCGATCCTCATCTACCACCTCTGTACATTAGCAGAAAGCTGAATTGGATGCACAGAGGAGCCAGGACTCAAATCAGGCACACCCACACCGGGATGGAATGTGGGATCTCAACAACAGTTTAACTGCTGTGCCACAACACCCACCCCACACAACCGCCACTGGCACCTAAAGGTAAGAGAACCGGCGAGTGTAGCGAGGCACAGGGGTATTCTGCAAGTGGTAAATCTACTGCATTTATTTTCTTATTCTGAGCCAGGCATTCTGCGACCTTTCAAATACTTCTTTTATTTCTTATTGAATCTTTGATGCATATATGCCAAAGAGATGGAATTTCTTTCACATGATGTGAACAAAGAAAGTTATACAAAAACAAGGTCAATCTGAAGGAATGAAAAGCCTAAATTAGAGAAACATATGAGACATGAAAAAAAAAAAAACTGCTCTTGTGTTGCCACAGGCATCTGCCAAGGACATTGAGTTTTTGTTTGTAACTCTCCTATCACTTGTACATGAATGAATGCTTCCAGGAAATGCAATTGAGCTACTTGTCTGTTTGCTTTCTGCACCCCTACTTGCATGCATGGCTGATAGAGCAGTGACGAACTCTGTGCACCACTTCCTCATTACCATGGATTCTAATTTAGGAGAAAAATAGTGATAAGCCTTGACTGCACACCAGCGTTTCACTGTTAGTTTTGTCCCATTCTAATATATCCTAAAAGCTATTATAATATTACACGGAGTTTAGTCATAGTGCTTCACTGTTTTATTAATTAGGAGACTTCGCCACAGGTAACCGAAAAAAAAAATTCAGCTTAAAGTAGGAGTTTGGAAAAAAAAATATAAGTTGTTTCATTAATGAGTATGAATGCAGATAAGCGCCAGGAAAATTGGAATGAAAATCTTTGTCTTTTAGTCATGCTTTTCTGTGCACAATTACTTCCCTCTCTTGCCTAGTCTCTCTTCTCTCTGTGATTTCTGTTTTTCTATCATCTCTCTATCCACCCATCCATATATCTGCTATTCTCGTGCCCTATCTTGCTACTCCATGTAACAGAATCTGGTTGCCTCATAGCACCCACCTTGTTTGCCTGTTATAATTCTAAACACTCAGTCGGTTGGACTGAATCCTCCTGCATTTGGTTCCAAATTTCAAAGAATAAGAGTGTGACTCCCCAATTTGGAGTATTATGTCTGACATAATCAGCCATGGCCAAGCCTGGGTGAATATAGATACAGAACAGGACACCAGAAGCCTGTCCCTCAGATAGGAAAGGAGTCACTCCCTGATCAAGTGAACTTGAGTGAGGCAAACGTCCCTCCAGATGTTTGCTTATTATGGTTACAAAACCCACAAATGTTGTGGGAGGAGCACAGCAAGTGGAATATCTATAGTTGTCACATGGAAATCAGCTGTCTAAATCGACACACTTAAATAGTTGTTTCCTGTACTTCTCTGAATATTTTATACAGAATCTCAAATGAGGTAGTTCAAAAAAAGTGACCTGCAGAATCACCCAAACATATTAAGTGACTGATTTTCATTTTGTGAATATTTAGATAGCCATGAGTTTAGGGAACACTATCAAAACTCTGGCTTAGATGATGATAAAACCCAGCTATTGGGGCCGGCGCTGTGGCGCAGTGGGTTAAAGCCCTGGCCTGAAGGGCCAGCATCCCGTGTGGGCACCAGTTCTAGTCCCTGCTGCTCCTCTTCTGATCCAGCTCTCTGCTATGGTCTGGGAAAGCAGTAGAAGATGGCCCAAGTCCATGGGCCCCTGCACCTGCATGGGAGACCAGGAGAAGCTCCTGGCTCCTGGCTTTGGATCAGCACAGCTCTGGCCATTGCGGCCATCTGGGGAGTGAAGCAGCGGATGGAAAACCTCTCTGTCTCTACCTCTCTCTGTAACTCTGTCTTTCAAATACATAAAATAAATCTTAAAAAAAAGCAGCTATTACCACAAATCTCCTGCCTCTGGAATACCAGTGCTTCTCATCACTCTTACAATGTTAGTCTTCCAGGCTTAAGTGATGGGCTGCTTCCTCCATGAGAAAGGTCCCTCTAACTTTCCCTCTCTCTTCTTCCCTCACTGATCCCAGCACACCCATATACATGCTCATCAGAAACATAGGAAATGACATTCATACAGTGGAACTGAAACATTCAGACTGAGTTAACAATCAGATGCTACTTCTTCCCTTTTTAAATCATTGCTGTGGATTTCAGAGTCTTAGACGTGTGACTGTGACATCTCATAGTAAATCATTGTCTGATTTTAGGAAAGCCTGTAAATACACTCGTGTCTGAGAGCCTCATCTGTGAATCACTGAAAACCTCTCTCTGTCTCTGTCTCTCTCTCCAGGTGAACATTAAATGAATCATCATCTGCAAGAACTCAACATGGTGCCTGTGCGTGCTAGGAATTCCCAGGTGTTACATCACCTACCTGGTTGCCTTCTCCCCCCTTCTCTTCTTCCCTCTTCCTGTTCTTCTATTTGCTAGTCATTGTCAAGGTAGAGTCATGTCAGTGGCTCAGGCTCCCTTGAATTGCTTCCAAATGGCAGACTGAAAACAGACAACACAACTACAGCCACTGGAAAAAGGAGCAACATCAGCAACCACCAGGAACAAGAGAATATTCGATTCTTTATCTTTAAAATGTAATTATATCAATAAAAAGAGCAACAATTTTTTCTTTGTTCCCTGTTTTCCTTTGTTGTTTTTTGTTTTGTTTCCTCTTTTTTTGTTTTCTTTGTCTTTTTTCCCCTAATAACTAATTTTTTTTCTAATAACTAAATTATGCCAGAAATGGGTATTACCCTCAGAGCAATTTCCCCACCTCAAACAAACAAAGCATGTTCTGGCAACAATGTCACATTCATTTTCTAAGCAGACCTCTGGCTCCCTGCCACCAGGGACATCCTTTTACTAAGTTTCCATTTCTGCTGGGACCCAAGTTTGTATGTAGCAGTGGCTTCCCACTCAACGCTCGACTTGCTGTGATGCTGTACTTTGTCCAGCACTTGGAGATCCACATTGCTTCCTTTAAACACTAACAGCTGTGCAAGAAGTGAGGACCCCTAAGCCTTTTGCTCTCCGAGTCCTAGGGAACTCAGTAGCCCTGTAGCCTTGCCACCCTTGTCTGCTCCTTCTGGGAATGTTCTTTGAAAACTCCCTACCCCACCATATGACCTAAGCTTCACATGCAATTTGTCTTCCAATAATTTGTGGAATGGCTTGGGCTCCATCTTCTAGTAGAAATGGGAACACAGTGGAGGACCACCTCACTCTCTGCTCCACAGTAGATACTTGACCCAATCTCACAGTGAGGGAAGGAGTTCATCTTTGCCATTAGGGAACAAGTGCCTCCACCAGCAGCTCTAAGCTTCCTCTGCTTTTGCATATAGACTCAACATATGTTTTAATGCAACGTTTCAGCCTGGATTTCCTTACTTCTCAAAGCTGCTCCTTTTCTCTTCTTTTTTTTATTAGCAAAAATTCTTTTGAAAATAAAATGTTAAAAATCACAACATGGGAATAGCCTTCACAATGAATTTCAATGTATTATCTCAACAAGCTTTCATTAAGCACCTCACAGTTCAGTGAGGGCCCTTAAATGCTGGTATACTCAAGAATTCTTACAGAGAATTTTTAGATGCAGTGATTTCAAATTCCTGAAAATGAAAAAGGGCTCTGTGAGAGAACTCAGTATTAGGGTACCGTCAGGGTTAAATCGAAGGGAATCAATGCAAGAAAAACCACTTGGTGGTTTTGCTATCTATCAGTGGAGAGGTTGTTGGAGGTGAGGAAGTACCTGGGGGAAAACAAATCCATTGATGGCTCTTTTGGGAGCTTCCCAAGTATAATAATGAGAGAGAAGTCAAGCAGCTTCTCTTAGTGTTGCCTAACAGAGCCTGTTGAGTTGATAGGATTCTAGACTCTCAGCCCAGGTTCTTGAATGAGAGCTCACTTTCATTTAAGATTGATTAATGTTTCAAAATGCATCCTTTCGCATGTAGGCACTCATTTGCATTCCTTTCTCCCTACACTATTCATTCTTCACTGATGCAGATTAGAGGGTTCATAAAAATGCATCATGGACCTATTTAAGCTATATGATTAACTGCTAATATGTGATATTAACTTGTAGGATTTTATGGAGATTAGCATGTATATAATTATATTTGATGGTATATGATAATTACCAGTTTGGTTGCATTTTAAAGTATGACTTGGGAACATTCATCAATCCATATATGGTTGAATGTCTGATGTAAAATTACAACTCATTTTAATTGTTTTTTAAGCAATCAAACCGACATCTCCCATAATGTAAAACTCAAAGGAGAGTGACTAATTTTATGGAGATGATGTTAATAATTCAGTGATTGGAGTACTAATTGCTAAATACTTTTTAGAAAAATAAGAAGTTCTGATCAATATTTTCCAAATGGGTTAATTAAATGTGAATGGCATGTTTCTACTCTTCTGATAAAACATAAAAAATTTCAGCTTCAATTTTGGTTTCATTAGAAAGCTAAGTACAGACCCTTCCATGGGAAAGGACTTGAAGTTCAATGGATAAATGTTTTCCACAAGCAGCTCAGTAGAAATATCTTCTCAACTTTCTTTACACTATTCCTCCATATGTGTAGATCTTTTTTTCTGTATTCTTTTTAGCATTTTAGACACTAGTTCTGCTTCAACCCTTCTGGGTGATTGTTCCAATCAATAACACAAGATGCTTGATGCCATCTGACAATAGCTCTCTTTTTTCCATTCTATCCATGGATAATGTTGTTGACATATTGAATCTTTTTTTTTTTTTTTTTGCATTCCTTGCTCCTGTGCTTTGGCTACCTCCCCCCAGTGACTCCTTTTATAATGAATCCTAAATAATAACACATAGGTGACCTACAGCTTGATTGAGACTTCAAGCCCCGTCCTTCAGTTAAGGAGCATATATATTTAAATCTTGACTCACATTGACCCTCTACCTTGGTAACAATAAACAAGAATGCATTGAAAATAGAATTTATAATATCCAAGCATCCCAATTACCTCACCTTTGCTATTTGAAGAAAGAGAAACAAGCAAATAGATTCAAAAGATTCGCATGGCTGAAGGATTCATGGCATACACAGGGCTTCTGGGGGTGTATGGAGGTCTACATTTGGAACCCGTCTATGCTGTAACTCAGTAGAAGTGAGTGTTCAACAGCATATGTAGGGCAAATCTAACTGGAAAGACACACTTCACCTTAATTGTCGCTCTTCAATTCTGGGGGCTTTAAACATATTGGCTGATGGAAATGTCATGGAATGGTGACTCAAACAGAAAATGCTTGATTTTTCTGTAAGGTTAGCATTATTTCTTAAGTTGGTTAATTTTTTTTCTTTTTTTCTTTATTTTTTATTTAGTAAATATAAATTTTCAAAGTACAGTTAATGGATTACAATGGCTCCGCCCCCCATAATTTCCCTCCCACTCATACCCCTACCATCTCCCGCTCCCTCTCCCATTCCATTCACATCAAGATTCATTTTCAATTATCTTTACATACAGAAGATCAATTCAGTATATATTAAGTAAAGATTTCATCAGTTTGCACCCACACAGAAACACAAAGTGTGAAATTCTGTTTCAGTACTAGTTATAGCATTACTTCACATTGGACAACATGCTAATATCCCACATGAGAAGTAAGTTGGTTAATAAGACACTGATTCCATTGTTTTTATTAAATCTTTACAACCCTTTTAAACATATGTGGGGCCACAAGCATCTGGTTTGAGTTTACACATATACTGCTTTACTAAGATGAAGTGCAACGTAATGGTGAGAAGGCAACACTGCTGAAAAAATTAGTTTAGTCTTCTAGCTATCAACAAAATTAATATTGCCTACTATAGTTTGAGAACACTAATAAAATTATTAAACTGAAGACTAGCTTTAGCTGACTGAAGTGGTTATTCAGGAGAGTAGATTTGATGCATGTAGTTGAAGTTCCAAGTTGAGAACTAATTTTCTGTTAACTCTCTGGGAACTAAGTAGATATGATCTGTGAAAGTCACTGGATCAATCCATAGATATGGAATGTATGTGGCAACCCCCAAAAGAACAGTTCAACTCAAAGACAAATGGGAACCCCCACATGTTATTGGCAACCCCTAAACAGTTATATGCTATTGTCTTGAAATAAAAAAGATGTTAAATCATGCCCATTGCCAAATTAGAAATGGGATCAACTGCTATTGAGTACAGCCATTGCTTACTTAACCAATAGTGTATTAGATGCTGCAGAGAACCAACAGATAGGGTAGATCGTGTTTGCTGGCTTCAGGCAGGTTACCATCTGGTGAGAAACCTGGATAAATAGTTTAATTATGTGAATCAGTGATATTATTTACTCAGTCCTCTTAAAAAGATTTCAGAGTTGTGGGTTCAGTGTGGCTCAGAGTTGGCAGAGAATACTTTGTGGAATAAGGACACCTTGATCTGGTACCCAAAGAATTAGAAAGATGATTTATACAGTTCTGAGGGATAAAGGGCCAAAGTGACTGATAGGCATACACATCGCCGAGTAGAGTGAAGTCAAAATTCGAATGCCAACACTTGGAAAGAGAAACACTGCCAGTGATCAACATAACACATTGAAGACAGGATGGCGAGATCATGTAGTTTGAGAGGATAGTTCAGGTGGAATGTGAATAAGGAGAAAGACTTCAAGTATGAGCGTGCAACCACACCATGCAGACTCCTAAAAACAATGTTTATTTTCCTATAGGTTGGTAAATTCTGCTAAGTGAAAGAAGAGTTAGTCTCTAACTAATCACGATGCTAAATGTAAGCAAGTCTGAACAATGTATTTTAAAGTATCTTTAAAATTGTTTACAAATAGCAAGTTAGGAACATACAATCTGAGATCAAATAGTTAAGTGTGAGAAGGATTTCAGGAAGAGGAGCAAACCACATACTTGGCACGACCATAAGGCCAGGCTGATTGCAGTGATTCCAAGCTCTGGTTTCCACTGGGCTACCAATAATATCTATTTCCCAACCCAGGAGGAAAAGCCTAAAAAGAAAGCTTTTTCATTACAATTAGGATGCTCAGAACAAAACACATTGTTGATGATTTTGCCCCAGATTTAGGAAGTCCCAAGAGCCTTGATTCTGTATGAGGGAAGAAAATCAGTCTCTCCAAAGAAAGTCCAATCACAAGATGATCCTTATAGAAACTCGCCTTCTGAGTTTGTGCTGTTTATGATCCCCCACTCCCGAAAAAAAGACAGGTCGGTTGGTGAAAATCAATAGAGGTGGAAAGTTGGCAGAAATGTTAACTCCGTCATGTGATTGATGCGAGTAGCAAAAGATGTCTAGAAGTAAAATTACAAAGGTCTCTTTTCACACAAGAGAAACAAGTTCTAGAAACACAAACAGGTATAGGCAAGAAATAAAGAAAAAAAGACCACAGAAACTTCTCAGCAAAGATTTTTTTTAATATGGAAGTATTAGATATAGAATAAAACTCAATATGCTTACTATGTTCAATTAAATAAGAATACATGATAAATGACTTAAAATTATGAAGTAGGTTTTTTAAAAGTTGAATTGAAGTTCTAGATATAAATCTGTGCTAATGGAAAATTAAAACAGAGCATACAGATTTATTGTATTAAAAAAATTTTCAGTGATGA